TTAGAACTATATAAGCTACTGTGTCTGGACTGCCAAAATCCATTTGGAGATTCACTGGCAATTCTCCCAGTTTTCCCCCCCCTGTCTAGGGGGGCCCAAGAATTCGATTTTATGGAGGGTAAACTAATGCAGCCCTCACATGGGCATCTCAATTAGCCCTGTACCCTCTTGCCTTACTACCTCTACAGCTGCAGTGGAGGGCAGCCTCTGGTTCCATTACAGCACCAGCCACAACCTGAGCAACAAAGCAACTGCTGGAGGTGGTGGATAAAGGCATTTTACTCCCTTTGATTGCCCAGATAAGACCTCTGATAATTTTACAGTCAGACTATCGAGTACCCAAACGGAAACAAATGCACCTAATCAAACGCACCAGTGGGCACTGCCAGAGCAGGCAGCCAGGCGTGACTGGGCAGAAATCAAAAGCAGGAAGCAGAGCAGTGCTGCCTGCGAGGCCTACAGCCAGCCCTCCCCTCCAGGGAGGTTTCCACACAGACAAAACACTCCTGTTCCCCAGCTTCTGTCCGCTACAGGTGAATGGGAAATCCCAGTAACCCACTGGGAGGCAGATCCTGCCTTGCAGCTTGAACACCAGACTCAGCTTCAGCTGCTCCACATTCTAAACCTACTCCAGCTAGGACAGACAAAGATTCACATACAAAGAAATCCTGTGGCACGTGAATCATTTGATCTATTGCACATCATTTAAAAGTACTTGACCTAACCCCAACATAAAGGCTTAGAAACAGCAAGGCACATCCACAGCATGTTTGCTTCTGCTCCCAGAAATGTACATTTCTCTCTGCTGTGATAAAATCTAGACTTAGATACAGCTGTCTATATTAAGTGAAACAAAATGCCTTCCACACCTCTCCTTTGGTCCCTTGTCAGGGAAATGGGAATCAGCACTGCTCCTTTAGCTCTGCTGAAAGTTGCAGTCTCTCTAAATGCTATAAACTTGCACAGTACCCCACATGGAGAAGGATATTATCCTGCTATCACAGCCTGATGGCACAGCCACAGAGACACAGGCACAACTTGGGGTCAGCCTTGTCTCTCCCAAACAACTCTGACCAAGCAAAGGCTGTGGAAACCCAGAAAAATGGGGAGTACCTTTTCCTCCAGGTGCTGCATGCAGTAAGCAGAACGAAACAAAAGAAAAACAAAACAAATCAGGAGAGACTAATGAATAAAAATAACAGACTCCCTGCTTTTCTCCTTGTAATTTCCCCACCCCAGACAGCTGTAATGTGGAAAGTATTGAAATTTAAATCACACCTCAGCCTAACCTCAGCTGACAGGCTGCCAATGCAATAAGCTCAACCTGGCTATCTTCTCTCAGGGAGAACGACAAACCAACTACAGCAAAGTGATAAATTTTCAATTTTATTTTAAAATATACCAGATGGGAGATTTTATTGGAGTCATAAATATGTCAAAAGCAATGTTGGCATATGATTGGAGATTGCCCCCTCCAAGGGAGCAGCTCTCCTTGTTTAGAAGTGCCATCAGATTCTTAATAAGAGGCTCCAGTTACACTGCAGCAAAACAGTCCCTATATTAAGCCAATTGAATGTCTATTTGCCAGACGTCTTTTTTCTCTTCTCTGCCAGCTCCAGCTTCTTAAACAGAAGAAATGAGGGTGCTGAGGTCAGACCAAGCACCACCAGTTTGAGTTCTCATTTTGTTGTTGGAAAATGGCTGAAAAGTATTTGATTTCTCACCAGTATTTGAAAGCAGAATTTCATGTCAGTCAATGAAGCTTCCTTTGATTTCCTAGAATCCCAATCAGCAGGTGTCAACCAAGTTCAGCCTCAGATTTAAAGTAAATCGAATTCAAGCCCTTAATCCTAGCCATGGGTCAACCTCAAATTACGGAAATAGCACTTGGCCTTAGTCCCAAAATTTCATGTGAGCTAAAACCAGTTCTAAATCCCACCAGCACTTCCAGAAATATGAGCTGCCTTTTGTAGCTTCTGCACCTCTCCTCCTTCTACCACTGCTGCTGTGACAGATCACAGTAGTCTAACAGGAAGAAGTCTGATATTTATGCCATTTCATCATTTCAAAGGTTTTACAGACTGGCTCTACCAGCTATGTCTCTGAGCATGATTCCCACCTTCCAGCTTACTCAGGAAATCCTCATATTCTTATACCAATAAATTCAAATCAATCAACTCTACCACCAACTGATTCCCATCACCACAGAATCTGCCTCACTGAAACTTTGACACTGAAAACTTAATGCAAAGCAAGGGAAAAATAGCAATAATCTGCTATTTTATGTTTTTTTCATAGAAATGCTTTGCATATTTAATCTTTTAGCCACAAAGCTGTAAAAAGGGGATAGAGAATTACTAAGAGAGCCAATACATAAAATATTACAAAATAATATCCTGCAGTTATAGCCAATCTAACTGTAACAGCACCACAGAGGGCAAGGCAAGAAGGAAACAAGCAAAAAGTGACATAACTTTGCATAGGTTAGAGGTCTGTGGTCTTTTTAGACATTACTTATTCCTCCCAGTCAAAGGAGTGCTAGATGCTCTTTCAGTATTCTCTCTAACAGATTGATCATTTGCTGTAAAAGGCTTTTAAAAAACTTTGTGAACATAAAACACCATCAGGTACATTTATCACAAAATATCATCCTCCTACCCACAGCCTCCAGTCCTGGACATGCCATTCATTGGTCTTGAAACAGCAGATGCAGCAAGACAAGCTGAAGCTTTTAGCAGCTTTTTAATCTGAAGGAGCAGATTGAAATAGAAGAATCATACCCATCAGTCTTAGGCTTAAAATATTTTGACTTAATGTACTACACAGTGAGGCTGGCATTCCTCTGGCTTCTGCAGTGTTTCTGATGGGGACTTGTACAATTCATCATTGATTGGCACAAGGTCAGGGAAATCTGGTGAAGTACAAACCAGCCAGGAAAGAATTCAGCTCACATTGTAATGCTTTTGACAAAACAGAAACCCATGCTGGGGACATGAAAGAGAGTGGCCTGGCTCTATCTTCCACCCTCAGGAGGACTCACTGAGAAATCAGAATTGGCCAGTTCCAACCACATTTGAAACTATCTTTTCCCAAAATTCTGTCTAACAAGCAGTGATAATGATGGAAGAACACAGACAAAGCTGATTTCAGGAACACTGCTGCCTTCACAGGTTAAAAGGTCTGCGAGGCTGTTTCCATTACGGAACCTGTGGAACTATTTGGGGCACTAATGCTTCTCAGGGTGCTCTAATGGGCTCATGCACAATGGTACAGGCAAGCTGTGAGTCCTCCAGGACAGAGACTGCAGCTGACTGCACGTCTGTGCAATGTTTAGCACAACTGAGCTTCAGCTCTAATAGCAGCCTCTAAGTGTAACCATGCTACAACAATGGGCAGTGTTAACTTAGATAATAAAAATAACATAATGCATCAGGAGTATCTATGGCATAATTACAAGGTTTATTCAGAGCACCTAATCAAATTGTTCAGCAACTTAGCATAAACACGGACATAGAGGCAGATACTCCTAGATTAAGGAGCAAATTGTGATTAGTGCAGGTATAATTGCTTTGGAACTCCCCACACTTTCAGTCAGACCAAGGACTAACAGCATGCTCAGGCAAGCACATATTTCTCCTTGGGGAAAATAAACCCTGAATACCTGTTTAAGAGCAGTCTGAAAATGCAGGGATCCTTGAGTTCTGCACCTCTGAGCCCAGGGGAGCTGACCTCAGGCAGCTTGGTTAGCTTCAGACTTACTTAAGATGTCTTTAGGGCATTCTCTAGCTAAGATGGTGCACTAGTAAAATCTATTTAATTATTTGAATAAACTTTACTATTTAATAAATCACTTAACAAAGGAGTGAACTCATTTAGATATTGACTGGTTAACCTACCTGGCAAACAAGTAATATCCAGGCAAGTAGGAATGCTACTTCACCAGGTTCCTCAGTTTCCAGTCCTTCCAGTAATGGGCAAACCTGCTGTCTCATTAGAAAGCTGTCCCATTAAATCACTGCAGCACACAGTAACTACAAAGGTCTCAGAAGATTTTACTGTGCTCTCGCATTTGGCAGCCACATGACACCAGTTCATAGAGAAGGCCCTACTATAATCTCAAGAATATAAAAAGCTGACATCCAGCATCACAGGATCCCATATAGCACAGGACACCCTCCTTTCCAACACACCAGTGAACATCCCTCCAGTGCTGTCAGATGTCACACAAATTCACTTGTGTTCCTGTATCTGTCCACCTTCAGGAAAAATCCAAGTACCAATTCACATGTAGAGCTTCAGGCCTGAAAACACACAGCCACCTTTAAATGAAACAGCAGCACCAGGAACAACCCACAGGGGTAGGAAATCAGCAAAAAAACACATCTTGCAACCAGGTCAGCTCCCATACTCCTGCCAGGACCCTTCCTTTTTGTTTCCCTGATCCTCTTCCCATCCTAGCATCACACCAGGACCTGGACACATGAGCACATACAGGCTTCCCTCTGATGCAGCAGTTACCTTATAAATTATATAACAACTTGAAATTACTTCACGACAGTGATAACACCATCCTCTGTAGTGCTCACAGGTTAATAAACTGTGCCCATGAATGAATATGTGCTGACTCACTAACGAAGCTGCAAACAAGAGCTCTTCATCTCCTCTGCAGTACCCTGAAATCCAGCATCCCTCCTCTGCCAGGGAATTCATTTTCCTTGCTTTGGAGAGGGGAGAAGGAGGGAATTACTTCCTCTTGCTGGCTTCCTGCATTAGGAAAGCCCTGGAGGTTATTTAAATGGGAACTTCAAAGGAAGTGTATGATCGGCTGCTTACTGCTGGAGGAGGCTCATTTTACACTCAGATTTAAAAGCCTCTCTGACTCAGAGGCAAACAGCATCACTTACAGGCTCCAAGTCTCTCAGACACAGCCAGCTCAGGTGCAGGGGGCCAGCAGGAACAGGACAGAGAGAAAGGATTTTTTTTTTTTTTTTTTAATGTTGGACAGGTAGGATTTTCAGGCTCAGTAGGGAGTGACAGGGAATGGTTCTCCATTAATAGAGAGCCTAAATGCTCCAAATGGGGAGTAAGAGGCTGTTTGGTCTTTAGGATAGTAAGGGAAGGAAATTATGAAAAGTGGTTCTGAAGCACACAGACAGTGATAGAGGGAAGACAATCAGAGATTCTCATGTACTGAGCCTCCTGCACACGTACCCACCATGTCTTTTCATCAGGTCTTGAGGCTACTGTGTATGAGCAGCAATTCATTCCTTCCATCACTCTTTCCTCCTGGGGGTGGCTGGGGGTCAGGCAGTGACTTACCTTGGGAAGCCTTATTAAGCAGATTCACTAATACAGACGGAAGATTAAATAAAAAATTCCTGCTCCTGGCACTTGGAGTGGAAAAGAATTTGTGTCTTTGTTCTCCTGAGCACTGATTTCTCAGTCTGACGTTAGGGTGGATTTGGAAGGGAGATGAGGTTTGGAGATAAGGTAATTCCCCCTCCACCAGATTAGATCCAGCCAGTACAGTGAGCAGTCCATGTCATATCAAGGCAGCTTAACTACACCCTTTCACAGTTCCACTGAGCTTTGGCCACTGAGAACCTACCACACACGTGAAATTTAACTGGTTAATTTTAATCATGTTTGCAAGTATGGAGTTTGAGGTTTTATTCCTGGAAGCAGAGAAAATCTCCTCACCTCCATCTGTTTAAGCAACCAAGCACATGGAAGAAGCAGGCAAGAACAAAGAAACCATCTCCCTACAGAACCTGTAAGTAGAATTTGTAAATACAGGAGATTCTGCAGCTGGGCATATAGACTTGCCCCTGAAACTTATGCTGGCCAAACCACAGAACTATGAATTTTCAACTAAACCTATAGTTCCCTACCCCCCTCCCCACCCCCGTGGGGATAACTAATATGGAATCTTCTGAGAAAAAGCCATTTTGACAAATTTTCTGACACATTCTCCCTAATACTGCCTACAGCAGGAAACAGCAAGATTACCATGGTAGAAATATCACCTTGTGGGAGAAACAAGCTCCAGGTAATGCCAGCACTTACATATGGTTGGCTATAACTGCTCCAAGCATATTTCAACTTCTGTCTCCATCAGGCTGGGAAATTGTTGCATATATATTCATCTGATACAAAGACAGTGAGCCCTTGGAAGGATTTTTTTCCTCCTCTGAAAAATAAAAAAGGGTTGCTTTAATTAGAATCTACTAGCTAAAAGCCTGTTTTTGGAGCAATTGCATCAATTTTGTTCCATTAGCCACCATATGAAGTCAGATCAGGAAATAACTTGATATGTAGTTGAAAAAAAAAGTAAATCAGAACAGAACAACAAAACCCAAAGCCTAGAAGCAATCAAGCACCCAAGAGTATTGGAAGGGGTGAGGAATGCATCCCCTTATTGATGTATTTAATGCCTTTTCCCGTGAGTGCAGTGCACAGGAAAGCAGAGGAGGCCAGCCAGAGACAATGGGCTCAGAGGAGCCACAGGTGCATCTCTGCAAGCACTGGTGAAAGCCCTCCATCCCAGCTGATCCCTGCAGCTCCCAGGCAGCCCCTCCAGATGCCCCAGAGGTATGTGACAGATGTGTTTGCTCTCTCCCAGCTTCACCAAGAACTTTCTGTACTGAGAGCACTGCCTGGACTGCCTCGGTCTCTTGAGGCAAAACTGTATTACGGTTCCACCTGCACCTCCACCAAATACAGTCAATGTATTCACGGGTGCACAGATCAAACTTTTGTTCAAGTTTTAGATTAATCAGGCTTGCATGTGACAATGGCAGTGTCTTCAAAGTGTTCTGAAAGAAACTAGCTGGAGGGTATGGACATGTTAAACAAGGGACTGTTTTTGCAAAAACTTTCTGTCAGTTTATTCAGACAGATGGGAAGGCTGTCCTCTGTGAAAGGCCCTGTTCTAGGAGCTCAGAGATGAAAAACAAAATGTAAATTCAACAAGTGAATATGCATAAGATGAAAACTTCACAAGACTATTTTATATTTAGAAGCCTTTGCTTGAGAACATACCTCCCAACACCAGACATTTAAACTAATGAACCATCCAGACTGACACTACCTCTGAACCTTCTCATCACACCAGCTCAGCAAATTATGTCTCTTGGGAGATTTGGAGTTGACAGGAACCTTTCCCTCTAGGGCAGCAACCTAGCCAGCTCTAGATCTACCAGTGAAGTCCAAATCTGATATGTTCTCTTCTTCAAACATCAGACTGGACTAATAAAACAAGATTTCTTCTGCTGAAGCGGCACTCGGTGTTCTTCCCTCTCCAGTCAAACCCCTTGGGTCAGCCTGTCATTTCTTCTAAATCTTAAAAAAACCCAGTAGGAACACATTGCACACTGACTCAAGTGAGGAACAAGACTAAAATTCAGGAGAAATTAAGTAGCACATAGATTGTAGAGACTGGTGCATTTAGGACCCTGAGAAACACTTTTTTTTTGGCAATGATTATTATTTACTATGCACAGTCTTGTCTGTAGACATCAAACCCAGACAGTCCTCATTAGTATACTAAATAAACAGCTTTTAAACATATATGGTTAAATTATATAAGACTATATGGCCACTGATTTTTATATTGGATCATTTTATTAATGTATCCACAGCAAAATTAAGAATTTTGACATAAATGTATGTCTACACAGACTACACCCTTATGGTTAAAGATGCTGTAAAATCACACTTCCATTATACTGATAATTTCTGGTGAGGTGAACAAGCCCAGGCAGGAGGTTATTTCTGGCCACTGCACTCAATCATGTCATTCATTTTCTTTTATCCACTATTCTTTCCTGATACATTTTCTGACTACTCTGTGATGCAAACAAAACACGACTGTTTTCAGAAGGCTACACAAGACCTTTGCCACCTCCTTGTATAGATACCAGTTCCACTTGTGTTCTTAAAGGTCAGAGCTTGAGAAAGAATAATGAAAATAGGATTCAACTGCAAGAGTTGCACTATTTCAGGCAGTACAGCTCAAGAAGAAAAAAGACATCACAAGTCTAGTTTAAATAGTAATTTAAAAGCCAACAACAAATTACTATTTCCAAGTCCAAATCCTCTTAATCATATCCAAAACTACCAGTGGAGGTAGATGAATTAACAGAACAAAGCCTATAGACTCCTATTCAGGTCACAGTGGTAGTTCCTGGACACATAGGCTAAGACACAGCCCCCTTTTCAGGCAGCTCTGTCTAAAAGGATGATGTTTACTCTTTTCATTTGCACAATGAAAAACTGAAGCAGACCAAAAACAGCCCACTGCCCAAAAACTCTGTCTCCATCAGTTCTTTTAACATCATCATCACATCACATGGAGTCAGCCATCCTACTTTCACTAATTACTTGACTGGACCATGAAGCAGAAATAGAATCTGTCACACATAGAGGGCCTGGAAACCAAACCCACATCCTCTGGATCCAGGCTGTCCTCCCACCCCACCCTGAGAACACCTTCATTGCGTTTGCCCATGGTAGTGAAATACTGGATTCAGTGAAATTGCTAGTGGAGAACTTGGGAATCCAACTGAAATTTCCTATCATAAAAGAAAAAGTAGCAGCAGTGACAGAAAGTAACAGAAGTGTTTCTTTAAGTGACAGGACTGACATTTTGGTGATGTGAAACCTTCCCACTGCTAGGATTTTGAAGTGCTGATATTTTATCATCAAATTGGAACCCAGCTAGTAAGTATCAATAACATGAGAAACTCAGCAGAGAAACAGTGACCCCATTATATGTGAAAGAGCAGTGCTATTTTAGCTGAAGAAACATATGCTTTGTCAGCCTGCTAATACATTGCAGGAGCTCCTCTTGGATTCTCCTTAGGAAGAACCCCCACGCAGACTCCTCTGTGAAGCTGCAGCATTACAGACACTGGATGAGTCTAGGAAAAGCTGGAGACACAGTTCCAGCTTCCATATGGACTGATAATCCTTAACCACATATATAACTGCTGAAGACTGCAGATGAAATCCTGGCTCCAGCAATGTCAATAACTAAATTTTCATTAATTTCAGGGGGCCAAAAACTTTCCGCTGAAGCTTTGGCTTTAGAAAACAGTTGATGTAATTGTGAAATGTTTCCTACAACATAAGTATGTCAAAACCACATGACAACAAACTTAACTGAGACAAACCAACTTGATATTTCATATTAGTTCAGGCCAAAGTTGTGCTTCAGAAGAGTCTGATGAAGTTACTCCAGTCTGTTCTCCAAAACACCAGGCACAAGTGACATCGTGGCTCTCATTCACACTAAACACATACTGGCCAGTAATTTAACATCCAAATGCTTTTTAATGTTCTTGAAACTGTTGTCTGTGCTTTTATCACATAAGAGTTGTAAGACCACCTGTGTAAGAGGACTGAACAATTGAGCTTTTTGTCCTAAGGCATCAGTGCTGATCTACACCATCCTCCCTCACCAAACAGCTGCATCTGACAGAAGTCTTTATAAAAGTCTGTCATCCTGCACAGTTTGTCCACTTGAAGATGATTTTTTATCCTTTGTCTTTAATTTTTCCTCTTTGTTCTGTTAGTGCTTCAGCATTAGAGGAACCCACTTCTTTAACATTATAAATGTCTTAGACTGTAATTCACTTTATGTTCTGCTGCAGTATCACTGAACTCAACTACCAAACAGCCTCATTTGTAAAATCTGACTTCAGAATCCATTACTCTTATGCTTGCCTGTACTGCCAAGAACATTTGACAGACTTGGGAACAGACCAGATGCAGTGCCTATGGATCTATTTTCTCTAAGAAGGGAGATAACCCTCGAACTCAAAGCAGTACTACCAGGAAAATACATGCAAGAGATGTGATGAAGAAAAGAGAAACCCCAGAATAAGGTAAATGTGTCCAGGCATCATTGCCAAACTCAGCAGGTATGGTACAGAGCATACCTTCACTTCATCTGGCTTCAGATTGCTCCTTTTGCAGGCAATAAAATTACTGCAGAAATCCCAGGGAATAAACTGAGTTAACACCCCATTAAATACAACAGACTTCCAATCCAAGGTAAGGACGTGCTCAGATTAAGCTAGCCCTGTGCAAACTGCCCCATGGGTAACATACATCACTTCTACTGACTTATGGTCTGAAAGAATGAAAGAAAAGAAAAAGCTGAGATGAATTTCTACAAGGTAAGAAAAGATTTGTTCTTTGAAGCATGCTTAAACAACACAATGCATTATTCCGTAAACATTCTTTCTACAGCTGAATGCACACCCCAAGGGAGAAAGCCTGGAATTTGTTATTTTACATATTTTCTTTTATCAGTAACGTGATCTTGCTCTTCATTCCCCTCCCCCAGATTAAGCAGCCTTGATTTTAACCCTTCAGTTTGTTTTGTCAGTATCTGGCTTGGAAACCAGAGAGAAGAGCATTGTTGCTGGGTTGATTTGTTGCCCCCATTTCTCAAAAGACAAGATAATTTAAATTACTTATTTCAATAATTTTACCTTTTCTAAATACTTCAACTGCAGTACTTGTGAGCCCCTTCTAAGTCCACTGGATAGAGACATTCCAGTGGCACTCATAAAAAAGACTTTATAAGAAAAGTCTGTCTTGGTGGAGCCACCTAAGTCAATTTTAGCTGGTTTTAAACTGAAACAGCTCAGTACAAAGAGGGGAAGAGAGAAAGAAAGGCAGGGCATTCAGAGAAACATACAGATAAGGGCAACAGCATAAGCCAGGAGTTATATTTTGATTGTCATGTATTTACTGACAGCCCTAGGTGCTGAAAAGGAGATAATTCTCTACAGTCGGTATTCCCACATCAATTCAGTGTGCAGTCTCATGAAACTGGGAGCCAAAATGCAAGCAGGATGCCTCCAGAAAGGAGCTCCTGCTTCCCTTCTTCTCCTCTCTGATCCTCTTGCTCACTTCACAAAAACCCTAGTGCTTGGCAGACTTCAACAGGAGCTCAGCCAGTTCACAAAATACAGAAAACGTTCTACAACAACCAGAAGCTGTGTAGTTTTTTAGTATTTTGATGCATTAGTGAAGCTCAGGGATGGACAGGGCTGCTCCTGGCTGGAGTAAGACCATAGAGAAGCAGCTCCCACCTTGCTATACACCTGAGAGCTGGTGGGGTTGATGAAGTGTGAAGCTGCTGCAGGCTTCCAGAACAAAAACCAGCTCTGCAAAGAC